TCGGTTATATTATCGTATATTCTTTTGATGTTATACGCATTCGGTTGTTGAATCACAGGTAGTTTCTGCATGGTGTTCAGGAATGATGTAAACTGTAGACGACGATTATCATATCGGTGTGTCAGTATCTCCCAACACGAATCGTAGTTATCAGAGTTTATAGATAGATGCTGGATAAGACGTTCGGCTTCACCCTTTAGCTTCGTTTTTAAATGTTGCATTTTTTGAGACTTCGGAATTGTAGGGTTGCTATGTATGGCTTCATAAAAAATATCTTTGAAAGATATCCACTGAATATAGTTTCCGGAAAACTCAGGAATTTCTATCTGTGGCGTTGCTCGTTGATAATGAACATTTGACCACATTTTGCTGTTTAATGTTTTTCTTACATCGTCATACCTTTGTTCAATGTCTTCAAACCTCTGGTTATATTGTTCTTTTAAGCTCTGATCTTTAATAATACCTTCTATTTCCCAGTGAGTTTTTTCAATATTATCCCACTTAGTTTTCAACGTCGATAAGTAGTCTTCTAATTCCCACTTCTCTGTGATGAATTCTAGGTTAATCTTCTTCATAGTTCTATTCAAAGCTTTAAATCTCGCTTCTTGTTGTAACATAAGTTCTTTAGTCTTCTCATCAGTTTTATCTTCAATCAGAGTAGTTAAATCAACGTCGATGTTTTGTTGTTGTCTTCGTAGGACTGATAATAAATTCTCCATATGTGCTTTAGTACTTTCGTACATCTGCTTAGTCTTTTCATAAGTATTCGTTACGAAATAGCTAATACTTTCTTTGTTTTCAATAGGTACTAGTTTTGTTGCATGGCGTTCGTTGAATTCTCCCCATAGTTTTTCCAGGTTAGTTAAACGTTGTTCTAAGTAACTTTCGGTTTTTCTACAAGCACTGTCGACACAATGACTTGATATTCTCGAAGGTTGCTACTTGTATCTTCAGATGTTCCATCTCGTTAGATTAAGTTAAATTTAGATAGTAAGTAAGTTAAAATAAGTGACTTCGATAGTCGCTTATAGGTGGATAAATGCTTTGAAATCCAAGAACGATATTTGCGCCTTCTCAATTGAACTGGTGAGACCCGCTTGTGGGAGGCCAGTCAAACCGATTCGCTATCGCAAATGGAAAGCAATAAACACTTACCCCCTGTTCTTCCTCGAAGGACCACAATGTACAGATTGTAATGCTGTACAGACGGTGTTAGTTGGGTATTGTAATTACTGGAGTAGTATTGTTTATATAGAGTTGTGGAGTGCAGAAAGATGAAATCTTGAGATAATTTAACACCATTTATTCACGTACACAGTAAAGTAAGTTAAAGTGGTTGTTACTGGACGTTAGTTATACACGGTTGCTAAATTCGCACTCATTTTATTAATATAATAATCAATAACGTAAAGTGAATGATGACCTCAATAATTATGTAAACAAGGCAAAATTGTACGGAACCGTACAATTATTAACAAGCACAACTTCCTCATCATCATCAGCTCTTTATTTCATCCCCACTGCAGGGGCTTAGGCATTCTTATGAATGGTTAAGGAGCATGGGTCATGACCCTCCACGCTGGCCCAATGCGGATTGGCGGCGATTAACGACTGTAAAAGCAGCCGAGACCAACGGCTTAACGTGCCTTCTAAAGCAAGGAGTAGCTCGAGATAATAATTTTTAGGCCACCCATTCCGTGATCGACCCTTGCGAAAGTTGCTTAACGCCAACGATTGCATGCCGCAGCGCTTATCCACTACGCCACTGAGCTACTCACAAAATAGTCATAACTTTATACTTTCCTCTAGTCGAGCTGAAAATATTATACAAAGTTAACTCGACGAGATTTCGTTTAAAACGTTAACGGGTAAGTTGAGTACAATATATGACTCTTTAAACTTAACTCTGCTCTTAAACAAAGTACAAAGGCCTCGTATTAAAAAATTAACCATCTTCATATAAAGCGCGGCATACGTGAAATGGAGATTTACTGAGAGTTAGGAATGGGACGTAACGATATAGTTTATCGATAAAACGGTCAAGTGATTTAAATGTAATATAAAAAGTATTTACTATTTTAAAGAAAAATTTGTAGAGATGATCTAATTTCGTTTTTTTTTATATATTACGCTTAGCCTTTATTCCAGGTCCCTTGCCGTTTAATAGGCAACAGGAGGTGAGTGAGAATCTTCATTTGCATGGACTTGCCCGAAACTAGTCAAAACGTAATCGTTTTGACTAGCTTCGGGCAAACTACACACCAAACCTCCTAACGACGCACCCTCATTTTTGGGGGCAGGAAAAATAATCTGATATCTTTAAATTTCTTCATGTTTTGAATAATTAAATAAAATCATGTAGTTTCACTTAATTTGAACGTTAACTTTGAGTTTTATTCATTTATTTGGCTCTCTTGTTCGCTTCAGATTTGAAACTGCCTTTAGCACCGAAAGTCACTTCTTTTATACCAAATCCCACCACCTACAGTACAAATCTAGCAGTTTCTAGTACTATCTTGAGTTCACTATCAAACTATAGAAAATGCTAGACACAACCAGAAAACTCTACGTAATGCGGCTATTTGCTGTTATCTCTTAATTTAGCTACTCGCTGCTACATGGCGTACGATGTTCCGCTTCTGCTGATGCAGATAAGTTGGTATTGGTATGCTATGCTACTACTTTCTTCCTTTCTTAAGATCTTTAGTCAGCTGAAATTTGCACGCATAATTTTCAGCTGACTTCAGAACGGTTGAGAACTGTCAAACGAGTTTTTATAAGTTATGAAACAGTACATTCTTAAAAGCATGCGCTTAGTAAGCTAGCCATTTAAAAACTTAAAATTAAATATTTTGAGAAAATTTAAATCAGAGACGTAAAACTGCTTAAGTGACGTTAAAGTACAGTTTCAGACGTTCTTGACTTTAAATTATTAATTTAGAAACCGCGTGTCAGTTCTCTTGTTTTAATAATAGATTTAAGAAAGGCAAATATGTAAAAATTCCACCCGATGGACAATATTGGGTGGGCCCACAGCTTTCTAGGTCGCTACGGTGCCCATCCTGCCCCACCCTAGGTACGCCTATGGATCTATTGGATCTACTACTTGTTGTCGTTAGTTCAATTTCATATACAGTAAAAAGTACGTCAGACTATAAAAATCTGTCAAATGTCTCCACTCTATTTTAAATCTTAATGTTTTGAGTCTGAAATCAACTGAGGATTTTTGACAAATTGTTGTAGCCTGACGTGCCGTCGCTGTAGAATATTTATAACAAAAACCTACTTCAAAAGATAATTAAGGTTTTATTTTATGAAGCTCGTGAAGTGAAAGTGCTATAATTTACGCGGGCAAAGTCATGCGAAAACAGTTAGTTTTGTCGTTTGTTTCGCTAAAGCCCAAGAATGACTGGGCCGATTTAACTATTTTTAGTTTTCAAATTTTTGTAGTCCAGGGAGCGTTTGAACGATGAGAGGCGATACGAAGTGCACCGGGTCATCTAGTATTTTTATAACGTTTATTTTACTTTCCCATCACTACTGCTAAGTAGTCCATTGTTAATTACATTAACTCTTGCTGGATTCATTTGGGCGTTGAAAGCTGCTTTAAAATATTTTGCCTATAGTTTCATATCACGTTTCTCACTTAAATGTACTAATAAGAAAACATGCAAATAGTATTATCTCGTTTTAGTATATGAAATTATTGGAACTTATACTTTATTATCTTAAAAAAGAATTATTTTTAGTTGAGTTTTCTTCTTTGAAACCGTATTCTATTGTATATAGAAGGATTTTATGTACAACGGGAAACGGTCCTTATCTTTGACAATATTAAAAATTGTTTGTTTGTTTGTGTGTTTGCATTGAATAAGCTCCGAAGCTACTGCGAATCGCGGAAATACAGTTTGAAATAGATATAATTCTGTAATAGATATAAATATAACTAAGTTTTATAACAACTTTAATGATTTGGAACCCTGTACAGGCCTTGCCTATGGATGGAATCAAAACAGAAGAACAAGTCCCTCATTCACAACGTTGGCTCAATGGTGTTATGCTTTGCGATGGCTTAACGGAAGCACGAAGGAGCTCGAGATAATAAATTGTTGGTCATTCATTGTGTAACCGTAGTAAGTGTTTTTTTAAAGGTTAGGTTAGTATATATATGAAAAAAAGAAATTAAACAAAAGCATTTATTTTACCATGTTATTGTACTGAAAGTTACATACTCAAACAATAATAATAAACTATGGTTTTAATTTTATTATGAACAAATCAATCATGGCAATTGAGAATAAAAATATTTCACTTTTAATACCATTGGTAACAAACGCAAGAACAATCTAATAGCAATTCTTGTTTTATGTCACGTCATTGAATTCGTAAACATAAAATTTATGTTACTTTATGTACCTACGTATGTCACTTGTGGGCTATCACTGTCTCGAGGTTATAATGATGATTGTTTTCGCTGTCATATATATTTTTTTAGATTTTGTATTTACGTCACAGCAGATATAGCATGGCTGACAGCGTTTCCACCTGTTTATACTAATATCACAAAGGAGAAAGAATCGTTCGTTTGTTTGTTTGCAACAAATAGACTCTGAAACTACTGGAGCAATTTTAATTTTTTTTTCACCAATGATAACCTAGATCATATGCGGTGAACATAGGCATATTCTATCTAGCAAACCAGCAAACAAAGGGATAAAAATTAAAGTGGAACTTTGTATGGGGAATTGAAACATTACCATAATAACCATTGCTTAGTAACGAATTTGAACATGAATCGATATTCAATTAACAAATCTCCAGATACCAATAAATAAAATAAGAGAAGTCTGGTGGCTTTAGATTACTTTATTAACATTAAGTATTGAAGGAATGGCAAAAATCTAAACATTTTTTCAATCTAATCAAAAATTTATTATAAAACTCTTATATGATACCGTAATATAAATAGACGGCATACAAAACAGTTTAAAAATGTAGACCATTCAATGGCGTGCCTGCTTTCAAAAGTGAAATTAATTTAAGAAGGAAACTGTAATCCGGACAGTCACCAAGAGCATAACATTTGCCAGTAAATGATTCTCTAAAAGTTGAATCTTTGCAATAGCATTCAGGCTTGAAACAATCAAGTAAACGAAGTGTTCCATTAATTTGTTCGCAAGTAGGCTCCGACATTCTTGGGCAAGCTGTCACCAGTTTTTCATAATCTTGACACTCCACTGTAAAAGACAAAAAACTGTTTACTTCGGTAGCTATTCCGTGCTTCAGAAGGTACGTTAAAACGTTGGTCTAGGCTGCATTTACAGTCGTTAATACCCTCGAATCCGCATTGGGCTAGCGTGTAGAGTTATAGTCCAACCTCCTTAACCAGCCATAAGAAAGGCCTAAGCCCTTGCTGTGGTGACGTAAAAGGGTTAATCACGCATATATTTAAGAAACTTCTGATATTAATAAATCTACATTGAGACCGTTTGCTTCTGAAATATTTCCGCCAGGAGCAATACACGTCCGGGTAGGATGTAGAGCATTAGAAGATGCTGGATTCCAGGCTCTTCCTTTAAACGAGAGAGAGCCCATGGAGGCCGCTCAGTGTGTATGCTATCCATGTTTTGAATAGCCTTTGGGCGGCTCCGTGTGGAGAGTCCCATGCAAACCCTGCCGCTTTATAAATATACCCCTAACAGAAAAAGGGGTGTCAATTTTCCTAGTATAGAAAATGTTTTATAATGTTAACAGGCATATTGTCATTATAAGAAATAAAAGTGTTAAATAATCTTTATAACATACATTTTATTTAAATGTATGTGATAGCTAGTGGGGATGAGGACTGTAAATAAAGACTAATGTATGTATAATTTTAATGTAATAATAATAAATCACAAATCACACCAAGCAAAGCAAACGAAAAATATATCCGACCTAAGCAAAAACAAAGAGTAATAAGAAAAAACAAAAAAAAAATGACATAAACTAATCAAAAAAGATGGCGCTGTCCAGCCAGTTGCCTACAGTATGTATATTTTAAAGAAATGTGTTTATTGAGCATAATAGAAATTAGGATAAATATTGTCTCTGGATGCTTCAGCGTCAATGGATCTACTAACTTGAAGTCTTACTTCTGGGTCCACTTTCGCGCTGAGTACCTAATCCGTGTAGTGTTATTTTATCGCATTTCAATTTCCTTTTGCCATTATATTAGTTTTCTGAGTTTTTTTTTATATATATATATAAGGTAAATCAATTTGTAGGTATATAAGTAAAAGACAACATATTAACACACACAAAATTGTAAATTCTTGTCCGAGATCTATCCCAAGTGGATGCGAAAAGGTCTACTTTCACCGTTCTAAATTTGTTATGTGTGCTGTAGTTTTAACAAACGAGAATTAGCCTTTAATTTGGTGAGGCTCGAATATAACCTTAAATAGATGATATGTCATTAAGAAAACATTATTTAATAATACGCAAATTAATATTTGTTCTATAGTTCTTATATATTTTATTTTAAAATTGTCTACGTTAAAATTGATTTTTTGGGTCAACCTGTATGAAATATTTAAATATAAGAGATTTAGTTCCAGAACTATTACGCTATTTTTAAGAAGAATTACTAAATTTCCCATGAATGACCATATAATTGAAATAAATAAAAAGTCCATAAAAACAATTTTATGTATAACGTATTAATACACGCAAGATTCAAAACGTATAAAAAATAATATATATATATCAAGATATATATATATCGATCATCGATAAGTGTAATATTAAAAAATAACAACCACTTGCTTCAAAATAAGTCACGGCAAACGGATAAAAATGACTTTTCAAAATTGCCATTGATTGTTACATAAAATAATTCTACTCACGTGAATGTATGTTAGCAAGAAGGGCAACAAAAATAATACAGGTCAAACACTTCATTATGTTTTGTTAATTCAAAAGTACCTACTGTTTAAAATGAATGTCTAAATGAGCAGACGTTGTATGTGTGACACTCGACCGTTCAAACTGTAATGAATATGTGGAAACCTGTTTGTATTGTCGTTGGATATTTCTTAACATACGTGCGATCTTTGTCTGTCTGTACCTAGTTATTTAGCGCCAAAAGAAAGATTGTTGATTTCTTTTGTTTTGGCAATGTTGTATAATAACATGATGTAAGATTTGTGTAGACATTTCTGTATCGAGTAATCAAATAACGGCGCGATAGTTAACAATTTATTTGAAATTTTAATTGCCGAAATTAAAAGTTGAGTTGATGATATGGTTGATACAACAATACTAACTATTGTTGTAATATATTGTTGGAAGCATGGCTGTTTGAACATAGATTCCTTTGTCTTCATAATAAATACAAAATTATTGAAATAATTTTGGCGGGAGCCAATCAGAAAAGTATGGAGTGCGTTATTGAATTGCATTTTTTAATTATTTATACTGCGTTTGGGTTATAAAAGTTATTTTATTCACTTCTGAGATTCTTTAGGGCCTTCTCTGAAAACTATATTTCGCATATTTTCGAAACACTATAACGACCTGATTGAACCATTTTCTTGATTTAAATGTAACGAGGTTAAAACCACGATGACATCTTTTATATAATCAGAAAAACGTTTTGGAGTTATACGAAATTGCAGTTTCTGAGAAACAGAGTGGGGATGATGAGACGAGGCATAAGATACATTTTTCCAGCGTTAACAAAAAAGGATGTATGGGCTAAAATTCCTTTGCTTTAAAAGAAATAACTACTACTAAATTGGCGCCCACGGAGATTTATTTTGATTAAAATTAACTTATTCTAACAGAACAGCCTTAGGTATTATGATAAAAATAATATATAACTAATGTGAGGATTTTATAATAGGGAAAGTCAAGTGCAAAAGCTAAGTTAATTAATAGTTATTTGTCATTGTTATCGGCATTTTAATTACCATAAGTTTATTGATACAAACACTTACGTTGGTACAATGTCTATTGGTACAATTGGTAAAATTTCGTGTAATGAAACAATACAGTTTTACCTTGTTATTTCTTAAGTTAGATTGCTTAAGACTTTTAGCTCACATTTAAAAAAAATATCCCACATTATAATATTGAAGTTATTAATTGAATTTAAAACTCTTTAAGAGGCACTTTCAGAGATTTTTTAAAGTTATAATTTTTTGTGGTTTTGGTCATTAAAAGAACAAAAGTTTTGGCCAATTCAGTAGTTTCTATCTGACTTGAAGGACCAATACGAATGACTTGTTATTCCGTTCCAGTTAATGATGTCAGATGTCAGATAGTACTGATAAGTAAACAATAAAATTTATACGAACAACTAATAATACGGAATTACTTTATTATACCAAAAATTACAACATTATTTTCGCGATGTTGTACATTGCTTTCGTGACATATATTGTACGTTGACTCGTACACCAACTCCAATCAGGATTTCTTTAGTCGTAATGTGATGTAGGGTAAGCGCAATAAACACCATATCCCTATAAGTTTCACCACATCGTAAATTCAAAGTTTTACGTCCGGAACACACCATCGACCGGGACTTTATGGTGTCCCATATATCTGACATGGGAGAACCCGCATACAAATTTTCCTGAGTCCCAAAGGTTTCGACTATAATGTTTCTTAGCTATTACTTATAATTATCTAGTCTCTTCTCTTCGTGGCTCAGTGGCTCGCGCGCCGAAATCAAGGTGTCGCTGTCTTTGAGGTCCATGATTCGGTTCCGGTCGGGTCAATATAGAAAATGAACTTTTGGACATTTTGCTGTGGTACCTTCATTATTTTAAATTGACGTAATTCAAGTTTCTAAGCTTTTTAATTTGAGATCTGAGGAATGTATGTGATTTTGTTTAATATTTATTCCATTTAGATATCCGTCAGCAGCTTCGCATGCGTGTCATGTATTATATATGAAAACCATCGTTTTCGAATCGCCCACAAAATTCATTTTAAAATAAATTTATAAAAAAATCTCCGAACTATATTACGAGTATATTGTAGCAGTTGACACATTTCAAGTTGTACTAAGGAATTCAGGAAGCCCACTGGTTCATTATATCTTTACAGAGCACTGGTTAGGAATATGCTTGAATATTGCAGCGTTGTGTGGGCTCCTTTTTACATAGTATATATTGAAAGTGTGCAGAATATATTTTTTTAATTCTATACCACCTTTACGGATACATATAACTTATGAAGATAAATTTGTTCCATATGATATCTTTGGAGACCCGCCGTGTATGTTTCGACCTCGTTTGCCTGTTTAAGTTGGTTAACTCCATTATAGACTCCGTACTTGCTTTCTCGTTTACTGTTTAATATTCGATTTAGGTCCCGTAATCCTTTTGTTCTCAAAGTTTGCACCAATAACCCGATTGTCAGAATGTGTTGCACATTCAACCATATATATCCTCAAAGTGTGATTGTCTAGATATTTACCATCTGAACTTGCAAACGTTCAAAAAGATATTTATTATGGTTATACTATTGTTTTATGTGTACTTTACTCATTACTAGAGATTATATGTTTCTTGATTATAAAAGGTTAATTGGGTCTACATAATATTAAGAATTATATTATTATTTTGTTAAATATATGTGCCAATAAATAAATAAATCAATAAACATGTGGTTAAGGGCGCAATATCAACTTTTACCCCCTGGTTGGAAAAAGTGGTAAATCCGGACCTGTGTAACTGTGTATAGCTTCCGCAATTACATTTTAAAAATCGTTCACCTACATTAAACGCGGGTGACTTAAGTGAGGACGAAGTCGCGCAAAAGCAGCTAGTTTCTTATAAAATTAATCAACCATGCAGTAGGAGCCTAAGATGCCCTAGACTCGTTGCAACGCCATAACTCGGTTGTGGAGTGGGCTGTTGATAAAGCTATTTTGTTTACTCAGTTCTCTCACACACGAACTGGGTTAGACTACACTAAAGCTTAATAATTTATTTTTGTTGTCTTCGTTATTTAAAATCAAAATCAAAATCAAAATTTATTTATTCAGTTTAGGCTTTTACAGAGCACTTGTGAAAGTCGAAAACTACGCCATCGGTTCGCAAAACTACGGCGGGAGACCTTGTACTGAGAAGAACCGGCAAGAAACTCAGCAAGGGCTGTTTTTTTCTCCCTGTTTTATTTCACACAGAGAAGTCTTATTGAAAAGTGACTTCATTAGAATATGAAGTCACTTTCCATTACAATATTAGAAAGTAAATACAACAAAGTTAAAATATCTAACACCATGCCTTTTTGTCATTTAGATATTCCTTAATGGTATAATACCCTTTACTTTGTTTATTAAATAAAAATAGGATCAAACCTAAAAGTGAACTATGTGACATCAAAATTGCTGTTAATATTTTTCAAAACGCATAAATTCGCTTGAAATTTGCCCCCATAAAAGACCATTTGCAATATTGTAAATTGTGGAACAATATTACCAAACGGTGATAAGTCCAAAAAATATCTAACCCTACTAAAATCGTTAGATTCTCTCCACAAAACCTTTTTAGATGCAAATGAATCAAATTCACCGCACACCTAATCTTGATGCGAGAGAGCTCATACGTTTATGGGATCCTACTATGTGGTATAAAAGCGATTCTAATGTTATGAGACAGCTCTTATATGTGCTTTCTTAAACTTTTTGTCGCTTAAACCATATGCAATATTATGCTGCTTTAGGCAAATCGCCCGTTAAGTTTATATAATAAAATAAAAATAAACTAGAACCAGACTTTAGCTAAATCACGCTCTAAAAAGTTTAAAACAAGAAATCTATTTAAATCACCAAGACCAGCGGTTTAGGCTGACGCCATCATTTCAATTTGTTTCATAAATGTTCTAGTAACAATCGAGCAACAAGTCATGCGTTTGTGTGAAGTATTATTACATTTGATTACCAAAATTAAATCATTATCTGCTTTAAAAAAGGCTCGTTATTGGAATTTTATTTATTTTTAAATAATTTCTGCTGTTCTTTAAAATAATATGTATTCATAGTTTAATTTTGAACACAGGTGTGACGAATCCACCATAATTTTATATATAATAACTCTTGTAATTTTTGTTGATATTCTATTAACTGTCTAAAATGTCTTTTTCATATTTATATGTTTTGTTTTTGGTTGAAATTGTCATCTATATATTTTGCTTGTACATAATAAAATTATCATATATAAAATAAAACTAATTCATAATAACTGGACCTTTTAATTATATAAGATTAGGTACGTTATAAAAGGGATTACCAAATTTTTTATAAACATTTATTTTATTTTACTTGTAAATAAACTTTAAGTTAAAGTAATTTAATTTTAACACGAACATGTATGTTAATTAACATATTTAAAAGTTATCATACTATTCATATGCTTGATAGCAACATCCTGTTTTGACAACTACAATTGCATTGCCTTAAAGATATCATGATAAGGCCCTCGTATGTCGTTCAGCTAAATACGTTTATAATGAATTTAGCGAGATTACAGTCGGAACGTGTCCTAAAAGTGATTATATCGTTAAAATTAGCGAGACTGAGTGACAGTTCATTTCAGTATTCATTAACAACGGCTGGCTGTGATAAAATTGTCGTTGAACTAAATTTTGTCCCTTTATATAATTATTATTGTTTCAAATATATAATTCTGTTTTTGTAACGCCCTTAATTAAATTTATCGAACGAAGGTTTTATTGTTTCGAAGTAGGTACCTGACACGTTTTCTTGCTAGCCTGGCAGTGTGTGAATGGCGCGAGGTAGGATCAATCGGAAGCAGTGTTATCGATTATAAACGTGTCGGAATATAAACTCACTCATTATCGATATAGTGTACCTACAATAGAGATGTTTACAATTAGCGAGATTTTGTACAGCGTATTTCTTAATTGGCAGTTAACTTCAGTGGATCGTGAATTGTGACGTTATGTTTGTTAGTTTTGTGCTTCTCTAAGGGTTTGTTGCATTATGCCCTCAAATAGTATTTATCTTGAAAATGACTGAACCGAATACACTGAAACTTAT